CGGCCAGCTTCCCGCTCCCGATCTAACAGTGCCCATTTGAGATCCGAAAATTTCCGTACAGCATTTTGTGTGAAGGAGTACAATTTTTCGTACGAAGGCAACGCGTCTATTTTTCGTTGCCATACGGCGTCGTCACAACCGGATTCTGCAATTAACCATTTATGGAGATTATTAAAAATACTGCTTTTTCTCTTAAGCTTTGCTGCGGATAATGAAGTCCTAAAAGAGTATGTTTGCTTCTTGAATCTCCGGATTTCTCATTTACCTAGATATCGGCTTTGCATCAGCGCAAAGTTCTCTTTCTGAAGATTTTCTAGTCGTTCAAGACATGCCTGATGAGCACTTCGCTCAAGCGCCAGACCATTGAGAGTCTGTAAAAGCAACATAAAATGTATAAACTGGATCATGAAGACAGTTCTCAGTTAATCCGAAAAACCTGAAAACTTTAATATTTTAAATTTAATAGCCTAAAGCTAGACTTTTACGAAAATACTACGAATTTGCATTTATCTATGCATATTAATGGGAGAATTTTGCTTTAGACCAAACTTGAGTTTATGCTTAGCCGCTAGAAATCGTGAAAGACAGGTAAAAAGAAAAACTTTCGAGAACCCTCCTAAAGCATACGTGAAAATGGGTAAACTGAAGTAATGGCGTTATTTTCTTACTCAAATTATCGAGTAGACAAACTAGATTTGTTACATCTGTCTGCAAAGCTCACCTTTTGCTGAATGTTAGCAGCATCCAGCTTGATACTTTGCACCTGATTCTGGAATTGGCGTAGACGTTGTTCAATCTGTAATTTTTTGTCTTCAAAGCCATTAGTCATGACATCCCTTGGATATAAATAAAATGGATTTGTAAACTACAATTAAGAAATAGTAGGGAAAGTAACGTGCTTTCAAGTATATTTTTACTCATTAAATGCTTAAAATAAAATCTTGTGAAAATCGTTGTAAGTCATAGGGTACCTTTTCGAGAGCAGCCAGAGATCCTCTGACGAGACGATCATCCAGGGTAAGTTTGTCTAATGCTGCGCTAAGAGCACATCTTTGGCTAAGTGCGTCTATCTGAAACCAGGTGCGTTAACTATGCAAATAAGAAAGCTTTCCAAATATCCTGCCTTTGCAAACCAACGTCAAATTATTAATTTCTTTCTTATTATGTCATGATTAAAAATAGGCTGCATGCAGTAAGAAATATTTTTTGGAGAAATTAGAAACCTGCTCATCTAGCTTTTGAGCGTGAAACTGTAGCTTGCTA